TTGTTGATGACACAAGCTCCTTGTACTCTATGCTCGATTTGAAGGTGCTTATCTGCGCCTCTCGATTGCATAAGAGACCGGTGGTGGTGTCGAGTACACGCAGTGGAGCATTGTCGAGTTGAGCATCAATGACCTTTCGAATAGCACAGTCCGCTTTGGATGGACTGAGATACTGCTGGCGCAACTCTGCAGAAACCTTTAAAGCCTGTTGACGTATGAGTTCTTTGGGGCTTACTTCGTGTCTCAGCGTCAGGAGCATTATCTAATTTTGAGAGCATTATTCGGAAGGCCTGTATCGCTTCATCGTAGCGTTGTGCACCATGAAGCGCTGCGTGCTTCAAATTGTATCCAAGATAAAATTGGGGGTTGAGTTCGGTGACCTATGTGTCACCACAATAAGTATAGGTTAACAACGATAAATGCCACCGCACATTGTGCGCATCGAGAAGTGCTTCCGTCCATAGCATTTTTCCCAACCTTGCCTTGCTGCGCTTTACAAAGACGGCATCAGATGCAGAACTCAGGTCAATCACTGCCGAGTAGAGGTCAATAGCCCTGTCATAATCGCTTGCATCGAGGGCGGTATCTCTCGTTGGTAAGAAAGAGCGCGCTGCATTCTTCCGTAAAAGCTGAGTGAAATGCGGGTGAGGATTGTAGCTTGCGCAACATTGCGAACTCCAGACTTGCCGTTGGACCATTCAAGGCAGCTGGCCTTCGTTGTTTCGTCGATAATGTCCATCATGTATCGGTATGATTTCACGGCATCTTGAAGTTTACCTGCCCGAAGGAGTGCATCACACACCGTTTCTGGTGTGCCTTTTGCCACAAGGAACTTCAAGTCCCAGCCAAAGAGCTGGACAAGACACTCAGTTATGAAAAATATAATGTATGCATCATATTAACGCACTGCGACTAAGTCCTCGTATAATTCATGAATGAATTTCGATGAGAAAGCGCCAGAGTTGATAGCGACAGTGAAGTGGTCGGCGGCTTCGTTGTGACGTGCGCCATCCAATGCTTTGATTCCTAGTTGAACGCGTAAATATGCCTAATGTGCGAGGTTGCAAAGATCAGCGTTTGATGACCAAACGTGAATGATACTTACTTGCACGACACTACACGCGAGAATGTCGGCATTCGGACAACCGGCAGTGAGTTCTTTGAGGAGAAGGTTTGCCTCGTCATGTGATCTGCATTGAAGAGGGTAATGGCCTGAAAATAATGTGATGAAAGCGGAGAGTATGCGAGGCAAACTGTAACATACCTTGATCAAGAGCAGGAAATGAAATGGTTTTCTGATCTCATTAGTGTACAGGGATGCAACATCAATGCTGCCCTCGCATCCCGCATATGGCCTGTTCCGCGGAGGGCGATGCCCTTGGAGATATAGCCTGTCAATGAGGGCTGAATGCTGATGGACTTTGTCATCATCGAGTTAGCCTTTTGTAAGAGGGCCGTGATGGGTCAGTGAATCTCACCTTGATTGCGGTCCTGAAGGGCACGGTCCCAGTCATGTTTTCGAGCATACGAATGAACGATGTGCGTAGGAATATGGTTGTTAGCATCTGTGTTGATATCTTGCGTGAGTAGTTCTTCTGCGGTAGATAAGTCTCCATCTATGCATGCATCGCGGGGTGTCGTGATGGCTAGAACCTGCACGGAACATGCTCAAATTGTTGTTCCTGAGTCGAGGACGGAAACATACCTTTGGATGAATACCCCGAGGTACTGCCCACTCTGAGATCATCTTACCGTCTCCGCTGAGGATATGCTTGCCGTCCATGGAGAAAGTGACGCAATGTCATCAAGGATGAGTGCTTGAAGATGGCAATTGTTCGCCGATCTGAGAGCCGCCAGAGACGAACATGATGGTCATCAGATGCGGAGGCGACGAGTGTGCCAGCAGGATTAACGGCGATGGTATGGATATAACTATCGTGGCCCGTCCAAGGATCACCGGCCTGCTGCCAGGTTGTTGTATCCCATTCGCGTATGGTAGAATCGTCAGAATCGCCGCCTGTGAGAAGGCGTGTGCCATTGGGCGTCCATGTAAGTGACTTGTTCCAAGATGTGTGACTCTTGAAGGATTGGACCCATTTCCTTGTGCCTGGATTATAATTCGGATATTGTTGGATGTTGCAATGGCAAGAACTCCTCCTGACGGCGAATACCGTACGCAGAAGACATGTTCACCACACTTAATTGGATCTCCTTGTTGCTCCCAGGTTATGGTGTTCCACAGTTTTAATCGGTTGTGTCCCATGAACCAGTGACCAGCACTGTTCCATCAGGAGAAAAATCCAACGAGGTTGATATAACGGGAGTGGGCTTTGATTGTTGGGTGAGTGGTTCCCCATTTCTTCTCCGTGCCAGGCGATGACCTCTCCGTCTCTATCACCGCTTGCTATCAATTTCCCATCTTGTGATACAGCCAATGCCCGCACCCCACTGCGATGCCCTTCCATCTTCTTCAACACAACACCTGTCTTCAAGTCCCACAGACGAAGCGTCTTATCGTCCGAGCCTGTTACCATTCGTCTTTTGATCGGGAATACTGCAATTGCATTTACGCCTTTTTCATGGCCTTCTAATTCTCGCAGGGGTGTGGTGATTGGGAATGAGCTTCAACATTTTACTGAGGTTAATGGCGTTTGGGCGCGGTTCGAGGTGGATTTTGGAGAGATTGTATCTTTCTTTGAGCTGCAGAGGTGCGTGTATTGTGCGTTTTCACTGCGTTAACCAGCCTCGTTTTCACAGACGCCCCGAACACGGCGGCCTCCACACCTCTATCACCGATACGGCAAGTCCCTATTACGCTGCCCTTGACAATATTACTCTCCTAGCGCCTCAGGGCATACATATATTCTCTTTAAAGCTTCTAGAATATATTCCAATCAAGCAGTCGGTGCTTCCCAGCGCTCGAATCTGACTATCTATCCTGCACGACCGAATGAATATCGTTCTTTTTCGTGTCTAGTAGCTACTCCAGCACATCACCATGACACTCCTTCGAACACGTGCACATAACGTTACTTCTTCATTCCGCTGACTCCCAAGATTCGTGTGTGCACCAGATGCCAACCGAATTTCGTGGTACAGGCTCGGAATCTTCTCACCATCGCCACACCGCCAATGCCCGCACCCCACTGCAATGGCCTTCCATCTTTATCAACACAACACCTGTCTTCAAGTCCCCACGACCGAAGCGCCTTGTCATACGAGCTTGTCACCACACATCGTCTATCGGGAAAAACTGTGGCTGCGGCTATGCCGCTCTGATAATTTTCAAAAGCTCGAAGGAGTGCGGTGCTTGGAAGGAGCTTCGACATCTTACTAGATATCAATGGTGCTAAGCACGGTCGAGATGCACTTTAGAGGGGATTGTGGGGTATCTTTCTCTAGGCTTGCAGAGGTGCGTGTAATGTGCGTTTCTATGCTGCTTCACTCCATTGACCTGCCTTGTGTTTCCATAGATACCCTAGTAGGACATGAACCCTGTTCACCTCTACTGTCGTCTGACCATCACATTGTAAAAATATCGCATCGTTCATCGTGTTTTCGTCAACGCACACATTGTTCTTGTCAATTTGTTCATGCATGTGCGTCACAATGGCAATCCGTCAATAGCTCAATTACTTCGCATTCACGTGTCGTTCGGTGTTGCAGAGTTACTCTACAAAGCTCCACTTCTCTCGCAACATTCTGTAATATCACGAAGTCTCGTGTTTGGGTGAGTTTTGAAACTACTAACACCCCAAAGTTAAAATGTTTTGGGAATTACAGGCAACTTCGTTTTCTCCCTCCTGCCACGGACTCCTTCCTCCGCTGATTGAACGAGTCTACGAGTGTTGTGAATTCAGGTATACACATTACTGCTGCTCTTCTTAAACAGCACTGACTTATAGTCTCTGCAGGCTTGTGATGAGCTTAACACTACTAGCTGGTAAGCGCAGGTTCTGAGCTTCACCGTTATTTTACAATCATTCATGTTCACCAGGAGCGGGAAGAGTGCTAGGCAAGAGCATCAACATCAGCACTACTGACAGCGCTCTGCATTAGATTGATATTGTCGACAGTATGCTTTGCCTCGCAATCCTCTTCCATCTTCAGTTTACTCGCCTTCCTCGCTCCTGTTCTATGCCTTTTTTTGCCGCTGGATGCTCCCCCGTTCTGTCATATCGCACACACCCCTCGCCTTCAAGTTCCTCATTACTTCATTATGTCCGCTGTCGTGTCGCTTACCTGCTGTCGTGTTCGCATTACTGTCGCTAATGTCTCATCGTGTTTTCTGGTCGTGGTTTGTACCACCATGCACTTCGCGGCCTGGTTGGGCTCAAGTTGTGGCTTTCGGCCGGCTTGGACTCACGGCCTGAGCTCAAAATCTTATGAGCCTAAGCCGGACCGGATCATCACTAGCTGAAATGATTAAAGGCTTGCTCTAGCAACGTGTATGAGTCTACGCAGCATCGCTCGAGCATTGTAATGTGGCGATCAACGGAGAACGTGAAATTTCATGGTCATAACGCGCATCCTGGAAGCCGTACGTCGACGGCAACACTAAGAGAAGGAACGATAACGTGGAAGAGCGTATGATTGACAAGCGGTAAGAGTAAGATGAGATCCAAATACAGGTAGGTCAAGCTATGTGCACGGTGTCCAATAGGTGAGACGCGTCATCGAAGGTGTTGCGTCATAGTGGGCCGCGTCTGATAGGCTGGGCGGCGTAAGCGTCGGGCTTACATTGAAACACTCGGTTCAAGCTACAACGTTACAAACCAGACTGTAAGTTGGTTCATTTACTGTGCACGATGGGGTGGAACACCCAGAGAAGATGATCCAGGAAGTGATCGTTATTGCAGGTAGTGCTGTAAGAGTGGAATTAAGAGTAATTGCGCTCATCGGGCAAAGTCAGCCGGTGATTGGCTCGCAGATTCACTGGCAATGGAAGAGAACGGAGGGACAAGCGTGGCTAATAGTAACACGACTTAAGATTCTTGTGGGCCGAATTTCACTGGTTTGGAATGGGCGATGCCAATTAATCATTCATGACTCATTGTTTCTGCATGTCACTATCTAGTGCAAGCCTGCCTCGTTAAAAGAGCACAACGCACGAGTCTACTAATCTAAAATGATTCTGTCTTTCTCATCCCACTGCAGGTGTTGGTTAGAGAAGGTCGGGAGGAAGTTGTTGTTGTGGAGAAGCCGCCCGTCTATCATGATAGCTACCACAGGCAGTGGTAGTGGTGAGATAGACCCCCGACAACCAGTAAGTCCATAATCAATGGATCATAGTACCCTGTGACAACGTACTTCCTCATGCGACTTCTAATGCAGCCTACTCGACTTTACGGGATTCGTATCCAAGGAGTCGCCTCATCCAATAGCACACGGCAGTTTCGGAGATGTGTGGAAATGCACCTACACCGCATCCGACCGTCGAAGCCTGGAGGCAAGCATGCTACACGTATGGCTGTCCAGCAATCTGAATCCATGACAGGTAGCAGTCAAATCCATCAGGATCGATGTCGTAATGGACGATTCCAGGGCCAGACTTACTGAAGTACGTTATTGGCTTCCCCTTTGCATGTAATACGCTTGCTCAAACCATGGCTTCGCAGAGACTCTTGGCTGATTTTCATGCAAGGAACCAACTGCATCACGAAAATCTTTTGTCTCCGCTCGGTTTCAGTCACGAATTTGGGCTACTTCCAGCGATAGTTTACCCCTGGATGCACAACGGCTCGCTCACCATATATCTTGAACGCCATTCCACAGAATTGACCAAAGAACAAAAGCTCCGGATCGTGAGTTGTTTCTCAGAAGCACTCGTACATCATGGTATTCATTGGAACCTTAGTTGCGGCAAGTCGGTGCAGCCATCAGCTACCGTATGTGAAATCTTCCATAGTTTGTGAAAACAATAACAATAAGTAACGCCATTGCAGTGCACTCGAAGGGCATTGTTCACGGTAATCTTACTGCCGTACGTACTAGTTGTCTGATACTCGCCTTCTAGCTCTGATCTGGAACGGCAGAACAACATTCTGATAGATTCGGATCACAATGCCCACGTGGCATATGATGGAATCTTGCCTTGGGCTGTGCCAAAGCTCTACGGGGAGCCCGAGGACGAAAAGTCATTGACTCCACAACCAGCCAGCGATATTCATTCCTTAGAATGCATCACACATCAGGTTCGAGGCCTTCACTATTAGTTGCGTTGGTTTACGACTAAGATCCGGTAGGTCATGAATGCATGATAGGTCAACCACCCTATACAGATGTGCGAAGCGATCATCAAGACACTGTCCTGGAGAAGCCTATAAGACCATCGAGTGTGCACGACGACGCAGACTCTTTCTGGGATTTCATCGAGAAATGCTAGAGTGATGCAGGACGTCGCCCCTCTGCCGTTGATGTTATGAGCTTTCTAGGATCGGATCATGTCACTGCGCTAGTTAAATAATCAGAGAACTGATCGACTGTATTTTATTTACGTATACAAGGACTCCTGGCTCTGCGACAACATATTGTGTTCATAGTAGCAACTTGGGAATATAATACTAGCATCGTCTCTGCAAATAGACCACGTGTCTCAGTACTCCACATTGATATCAGCTGCGTTGGCGCCAGATTGTGTACTGACAGTTTCCCTCTCCCAAATTCTTAATTGACTCCACTGGCAGGATCGTTATCAGGGAACAAGGTATTTTGTATAGAAGCCGTTATTACTCTGAATCTGTAAGGACTTGGAAGTACATACTCGTGCAAATATTGTTGTGCACGCATCGTATGGTCCGGAGGCTAATTTTAGCATGGCCCATCGGGACCAAATGACGAGTGCTGTGGGAGGACCTTGATACAGCAAATGTAAGCAGGATCTGCTAAATGGTGGAGGACAATGTCAACTGCAAACATTCCAATATTGCACATTCATAAACTGGCCATAGGCCACACACACGACACCGATCGCTCTTGCTCGACACGGACCTGATAACAAATATATGTGACGATCAATGTATTGAACTTTGGAATGACTCCAGTGAAATGCATCGGATCTATAAACTGTACGGTTACATGATAGCACACCTTTGATCTTCTTTATCCTCTGCGATCGTCCCCTAACGGACCCTAGTAATTCAGGCTAGCGAGGTATGATCCAAGACCGGTAACTAATATGCCTACGTCTTGAGCTGTCTGAGGAAAAGCGTACGTAACGACGAGGATAGCTTGTTTCGTTTGCGCTAGTACAGCACCATCGGCCTGATGACTGTGAGCATGCATCACAAAAAGACATCGTGAAGACCCACTTGTTTCTTGCCCTGAACCACAATAAGATTGGGATCATCTCCGTAGTTATCCGACGATAGGAAGAAATATTTCTGATCAGCGACACGGAAGCCAGAGGCCTGAACTGCAGCTTTGTTCGTGAACGCAGCAGTGATCGCCTTCTGCTCTTCTGGTGAGATCTACGTAAGATCCCGTCAGAGTTGCACAGACATTACTACTGTCGATAAGTTACCTTGATCCCTGAGGATTTAGCCCATATACCTCCAGCTTTTCCCAAGATGGCGGCCTGAGTCACCCTCCCGGTGCCGACGAGGTTGGTGTCTACGTATGCTGTAGATGCATGAGACTAAGAGCTTGCCTGGCGATGCAGCTCAGACTTACCTTGCCAGGACATATTATGAGGGACTGAAATCGAAACAGCGGAAAGGGTCACGAATTGAAACTGAAAGACAAGAAAGAGTCTGGCGTGGTACGGAGATCGCCATGATATCGGCGTTGGAAAGCAGGCCGCATCAAAGTACAGGCGGAGCTTACCTAATAATAAGCAAGTGGACCACCGGCCCGCAACGGACAACTTACCTAAATTATCATGTACAGCCTTTTCAAGCAAGATAATCAGCATTATTCTAGTAACCATATAAGTACGACTCGGACGGAGTGAAGGCATATTGCACTGGTACCATATATAAGATACTAGTGAGTCCACACGTAGGTACTTGAAGAATCCACAAGGAATAGCACAAGTACGATTACAATCAGGACCATGGCATGCATGAGGTTTCCGGCATAACTTATAGTGTAACTACCTACCCTAGATATAGGCTGTTTCAAACAAACATCTGCATCGCACCGGAGCTCTCTTGTGGTCACGTTTTTGTCTGTAGCCTTAGCCACGACCGGTCATTGGGATCAAGAGTGAAGAAACACGACAAAGGACCTCACGGATTTCATACTCATGGTTCCGTCGAGCCAGTCCGTTCGGGCTGCAATTTACTATTCCAAGACGATAAGTCTCTGCCTTTGATTCCAGTTGGCGGCATGTGACTCGCACAAGGAGATCCCGAGGTTTTGACCGTCCGAGGTAGCCTGGAGTCCGGGCGTGAATAGTGGCCGATTGATGCGGACGGTTTAAACTCCACGTCAAGAAGCGGTAACTTCATCTGCAGTCCATGTCTTGTCATTGCAAACACATGGTCACCATGGAGATCAGGTGTCTCCCCGACAATTCTCTCCACCTTCCCCATATCGAGATTCTCGCTCAGTTCTGTGGAGTTCTGTATATCAAAAGCTTCATAGCCTTTGGGCGACCGAGGTATTGCGCTGGAATATGGAGACAATTCTCCTGCCCATACAAAGATTTCCCAGCTCTTGCATTGTTTCAAGATGATTTCCATCAACCGAAACCAGGACCGCTGGCCCTCCCCATACGTTATTGGCATGCTGACATCAAATATGCTGATGAGGGAGTATGCAATATCTTCGCTGGTCGTCATTCTTGACGCCCACCTCGACGTTTCAATGATAGACGGTAACAATAAGCAAAGAACCGCTGGTGCTGTGGTCGAGGTGAGAGAGCAAAGGGAGGCGAAAAATCGGAAACGAATGCGCTTGAGAAAAACCATTCCCTGGAGGAACATTGACGAGGTGGCGAATTCATTTTCGTTGCGCTTTCTGGGCCCCATGTATGAAATATTTGAAAGACCGGAAATTAGACCACCGCCTCATGGGAATTTTGGCCGATTCCAATCACCCACCACTGACCATGATAGCAAGTGAAGACATGCAAAGGACTGTGTTAATGAGCTCGGGGGGTGTCTTGGATAGAAAGAATTGGCCCCACTCAACTCAACCGAGGCATGTCCCCCAGTCTGCAACTCCTTCAGGATGCAGAATTGAGCAGGAGATATTGGAAAGCTTAAGTTCTCGCAAATATAGTCCACACCATCCCACCAGACAATTGGATGACGAGAGGATATACAGCGCCTCACCGACGAGTCACCGTGCGATATTTTTTCAGAATGTCAGCAGATGATAGAAAGCGATAAAGTATCGCCAAGACAGTCCAGGCAATTGGATGACGAGAGGGTACGCAGCGCCTCACTGTGCGATAAGTTTTCATACAGCATGACATACGACGCAAGCGCCGAGTGCACATGTTCCGCAATAGGGGGATATAGTCAAGAGTGCATAAAGGAGTCCATTACGAAGATATCACTTGGTGAAAGACCGGATTATTTTAGCGGAAATATGCAAAAAGAAGATAGATCCAATGAACGCCAACGAGAGAATGAGGACGACATATGGGTCTCTAACATGGGAACAAAATCAGCTCAGTTGAATGTTACATTTATGGCAACATGACACGTACACTCGCAACCCTGGTGAGTCGTCAGTGTAAAGTTTCAGCATTGTCCCCGAAGAGCCGCCAGCTCCTGCCGCACGCGTTGAATTGGGTTTTACCTGCGTGTTTGCAGCCCTCCGCCTTTGACAAGTTTCAGTCAGCAATGTGTGTAAACCACGAACAGACTATGAGACATACCGAACCTGTGCACCTGGCGGTCTTGCGACAGTACCGACCTTGGGGCTAACGGCGTGGGTTGAGCTTTCTGAATCAGACTAAGCGAGTAACAGGTTAGTATCGAAATAATACAGCTAGGTTGCTCGTTACGCACCATGCTGTTGACGGTGAGCTTTGAAGACTGAAGACACGTTGGTGGAGGAAATGAAATGCAAGTTCGTGGGAACATTCTTTAGCTAGGTCTTTCCTAATCCACTACTACCTCCACTTAAGCGTCACTTGAGCGTCATTGACTTTTGTCCAATCTTCCTTCCTGCTCTGGCCGAATTCTAACATGTCACTGGTAAGTTCCAATCCTACATGAGTATGTATAACGCACATAGACGGGACTATCACTCTAGATAAATGCCATCGTTTCCCGAGGATCCACAATCCTTGCTGAACACCAGGCTCCGGGGCAGCGAGACTTCTCGCATGGTGCATTATTTTCTGTCTCATCATGCGCTTCTTGACATAGTGGCATACATAGCTACGCAGACAATTCTTTCCAAGATCCCGCCGAACAATAGCAAGTTAACATATGTGTGGGAACAATACCTATTTCATTACATCGCCGAGGGAGGCTTCACTTTTCTGGTCATGGCAGATGACTCTGTAGGAAGGTGAGGCTTCTGAAGAACGTGCATCTGTTTTTTTGGTTGAATATTACTGTAGGAAGATGCCATTCGCTTTCCTAGCGGACCTGCAGCGCAAAGTACGTCGCCACAGCACAAATTACCTCCTTATTCTGATCCACATCGCAAGTTTATCGAGCTCCCATCCTCCTCATCCGCTGTACTAAGCTCTACCCCTGCATACGGACTTCAAGGCACCTTCTCTCCCACTATCGCTTCTCTCATGCACACGTACAACACTGCTCCTCCAACGGATGAAGTCGCCCGTGCTCAAGCGGAGCTGAACCAGGTCAAGGACATTATGGTCCAAAATGTCGAGCAGATCCTCAGCCGCGGGGAACGTATTGAGCTTCTCGTGGATAAAACTGACAACATGGCCACGCAGGCTACCGCATTCCGGCGCGGCGCCAGGACAGTGAGACGGCAGATGTGGTGGAAGAATAGCAAGATATTGGCATTGAGCGTTGTGGTTGCGCTACTATTATTGTATATCATTGTGGCTCAGTTCTGTGGGGCTGGCCTGCAGTGCGGCGCACAGTCTTAAGCGTCTCAAGGGTCCGGACTGCTTATTTATTTGTACCACATAATATCCATATGTACTCCCTAGACTTATCGACACTCATATTGGCCTCAGACAATGTTGTTATACTTATACACTTCAGACCCGACATATATAACATCTCGACAGGAATCTTGCGAAGGTTGTTTCGCTGCAAATTTTTACATGTCTAGAGATGATGGAGATAAGATAACGCAAGTGGATCAGTACTACTATACATATAGTGAGTGGGGGATCGAAACATCCAAGACGTTTTATTTTTCTTCTTCAGAAGCAAGCTAGAACCTACATAAAATGACCGTAACGATTCTACTAACTGCATATGCGTGCACAATAGGTACAATACAAGTTTGGCATAGCTCGAGACCCTAACAAGTGACAGCATGTACGCCTCAGTCAGTACAACACCACAAAACTATTATAAACATGATATTAGCTACACACTGGTGACTGGAGAGTCCGCTCGGACTCGCTCGGATAAATAGATAGTCCGCAAAAGGACCCATCTACAACAATGGGGAATGAAAAATACAGAAGTGACAGTTGGTTAATAAATCGGCAGGCCATATGATTTAGTCTGCTCCAGCGGTGACTGGGTTAGACAACTTGGTCCTGCCTATACGGCGATCGCGATGGTAGGGGTAAACATCGGGTGGCACATTGGTGGTATCCTTGAGGTGCTGCCACTCTTGTTCCCGCTCGCGATCACGATCACGATCACGATCCCGACCTCGTTCACGCTCCATTCGCTCACGTTCCTGCTCTCGTTGTCTTTCCCTCTCCCGTCTCTCCTTCTCCTGCTGCATTGCAACACTACTAGCATGGACCAGCGTCTTTTGCACAACCGTGGCCGGGTATCCCTCTTCAGGACCAGGTGTAGGAGTCACCGATTGACTTGCAGTGGAGTTTCTCCGTAACGGCGTATGCACGTGTGTACTAGAATTCGTGTGCCTAGGAATCGTATTGGACGATGGCGGTGGTGGATATGGTGGGGGCATCGGCGACTCATCGTTATAAGACATCGGGATCTTGAGGGAGGATGATGCCATAGGGCTGTCAAGGATATCATGGAGCTGAGCGCGTAGGCGTTCGCGATCCTTGTCCCGAAAATCGTCGGCCGCCATGATCTGGCGCGGTACGAACTGGTCTTTCACCTTTGGCTCGTACGTGTCTCCTGCGCGCATCTCGTAATCCCTGCTACCACCATCAAATGAGTCTCGTGAATGAGTGTCTTTCAACCGAGGCCCATGCAAGCGGTCCGAGGAGTAGCGGCGTGAGGGAGAGGAAGTGCGGCTGGACATATACGACGTGGACTGTTCCCGTGACAGTCTGCGAGATGGTGAATGAGCACCACTACGTGCCAAAGTGATTGAACGCTCAGTGGAGTGATGACGTGAAGTAGATCCATCACGACTCGACATGACAATGTCACGAGGGCGAGATCGCGACAATCCAGACCAGTTATCCGTGGAGACAGACGAAGATACGGAGGGGTCCGTCAACTGACGAGATAACGAGGACCGAGGAATGGGAATAAGTTGAGACGTAGCATCGCCCATTGTTTGATCCTCGTCTGTGTCAGACCTCGATTCCGATTCCTTTCTGCTGCAGGTCTTCTTTAAGTCGTCAATCTCATCTTCATCCACCAAAGCGCGAAACGACTGGATTGCAGAAGGCCAAGTTCCAATTACCTGGGTGAGAGGAGACAAGTGGAACTCCTCTTCCTCGATGGCTTTCGCTTTCGCTTTGGCCCTCGCTCGTGCTTTGATGCTCAAAGGATCGTCCTCGACCAACTTCTCAGGATGCTTCTGCTCCGTTGCATGAAGATACCGGACCTCGACTGGCCGTTGGAAGTCAGGTAACGGGTTAAACACAATTCTAGCGCGCATGAGCTCCTCCCGGAGAACCTTGTTCTCACGCATTGCGGCTTCGAACTGTGGCTGTCAGTAAAACAACATTCGCAGGCAGCTACGAGATACTGACTTTGCTAAATGATGCTGATGAGTCCATAAAATAAATGGACCGGAATACGATGGGCTCACCTTCTCCAATGTGCATTCAACTCATCATAGTGTTCCCTCAAACTTTTCTCTACAGCAAGAGCAGTATCTTTCTCATCCTGTCGAATACGTTGCAGCTCCTCGTACTTCAGTTGCAAATTCACGATCTCTGCCGTAAGACGCGAGCGTAATTCTTCAAGAACAAGTTTTGCCTCGCAGGCCCTCTCAGCCTCAGCCACCTTCTCCAGTCTCGTTTCCTCAAGAGCAATTTCCACCACCCGGGTCTTCTCAACCTCAGCCGCCTTGTCTTTTCTCATTTCCGCGAGATGACGTTGAGACTCGGCGAGGTTCCAAAGAAGCAGTGCGCTCACTTTCACAGGGTTCTGCTAATCACGGTGTAATTAGGACCGTCGTAACATGACGACATCAAGAACATACCTGGTCAGCTGACTGTGACTTGTAGTACGTTCGACATTTCTCGATTACCCGGCGAAGTTCAGGAAGCTTGGCACCTTCTTTGACAACACGCGCGATATCGTTCTGGAGGGCACGGGCCTCGTCGTCAGGAGGTGGAGAAGATGATTCAGGGTTCTCAGGGACTTCTTCTATGGAAGCGGTCGTAATCGTAGGCGACTGCATATCGATGTGAAGCCTGCGGACCTCCTGCGGGGAAAATCGAGTCCGACAAAGGGGACATATGTGGCGCAAAAGATGATCGAGACACCTTCGGATTGGTATGTTACGTGAAAACAACACACGATCGATGAACGAATACTTACTTTTGGCAGAATACATGCCCACAAGAGATCGAGTGTGGCGAATTTCCGCCAGCCACATAGCCTTCCATACAGACATCACAGGTAGAGGATTTGCTGAGTACCAGCATAGTTGGAAGACGATGGAGAGACTCCCTTGAGGATCAGGAAAAGGAGCGAACTAAGCCTACAGTAGCTTGGCCGCCTACTCTAGCGAGGAGGCACTACGAAGAAAGGAAGGAAGGAAGGGACTTGTTAAGGACCCAGTCGGGTATACGGGGGAAGGAAGGGATTTAAGCCAGCAAAGGCTTAAGTGCCAGACCTAACGTGCGTGGCGGGGTGGGTGGTGTAATGGTATGCAGGGGAGGAGCGAAAATTCATAACGTTGAAGAGATTATAAGAAGACACGAGGCAGCTAAGCGACGTGAGATAGAACTTCGCCACTTCCTTGAGGGCCTTAGACAAATATCAGTTAAATGATCACATACTAAGTTGGCACGATCAATCACCTGGATGGAGCTTCCGATCTGAGTTCGAACGGCCACGATAAGAACTTTATATGTGACCCGAGTCTTACCTTTAATGAAACTTGGCAGGAAACGCTGAAGGAAATCAGTATCACTTGCCGGGATTGAAAGTTTGCACCGAATCGGCAGAAATAGATTCCTAGAAAACTGCGCATGGATAAAGCAGTGAACAACCCCCCCATACCGCACGTTCAATTCCGGCTGCCTGGCATAGAGAAGGGGTGTCCATGAACAATCAGTTCGTTCCGCTGATCTCATAGAACCGGCCCGACACGGGTAGTCAGTCCTCGTGGTTTCAGCGTTGCATAATAAATCGTTGGTTAAACGTTTTGTCAAGAAGTGCCGCGAAGAACGTACAGCTCAACGCAATTCGTCCAGATTGGCGACATCGTTCGTGATAGCACTGAACAAACAAAAACACCTTTGCCGTCGGTAGTGGGCTGAGCACGTGTCAACGTAATTATGCCTTCATCGTGCCACTACATATTAGTACAGCAAATACCGAATTAAACCTGGCTCTTGAACATATCTTGCAAGGCTAGTTCTGACCTTGGGCACCCTCTTGTTCTTCTGGATTACCGCTACGTTCCTTCTGGAATACTGCTAAGTTCCAACTTCCTTCTGGATTACCGTGAATCCTATTCATCACGGGGAGTTGCGGATGGATGGCTGGCCGCTGGAACATTTCACATCCGATAATCTCAAATCATTCTGGAGCATAAGTTTCTGTCATCAATCCGGTAGTGTCGCTCGAGGTTGAGGGTGATGTACTGGGGTGCTCAACGGCGACATGGTGTTACGATGTCGAAGCGACACATATGGGCGTCTGCCCCACTTTCAATGGGCGCGCGATTTTGAACACGTATTTATACGTATATACTATCCACAGGTTCCTGTCAAAGATGTACTGGATTTAGATCCCCTTTGCCTCAAGGCAGCTCTATTTTCCAACCTGAGAGGTCATCCAGTAGAGAACGATGCCTCGCTGACGCCCTTGACATCAACCATGATGCATGATGCTCCATTGCACCCTACTCGAGTCTCTTGGAGATCCCCTTGATTCTGAAACTAACCGTTGCCTTGGGTTGTCACCTCAGAAATGACTGTACCCTTCGCCACCTTGGCCATGACATCGGTCCCAATTTGTCTGATGGGTATGTTTTTTTCTCCGATGTGCCCTTCATTTAGACACCTAATCTATTTGTATCAGCTCCTCGTCCTGCGCGGGATGTTCTTTGTCTGCCTTTCCAAGCGCACAGGCCACTATTCTATCTTTTCACTCCGTCTCGGCAGTCATAACCTTACCGAATCCTTTCCCAACTACAGCAACTACAGCATCTTGCATGATTTGGCCCCACGTTCATGACATCTCTCTCTCCTAATGACGTGCCAAACTCCCGGACTATCTGCAGCCCCTGAGTCAATGCTTCGCTCTCAAGATGGCAAGAATGCTTCGGAGTCAACAGCACACCCCTTACATCATACTTCGAAAGTATATCGATCTACACTATCGATAGGCACATCGCCCATCGCGGCCATCTGGGTCCAATTGTCCATTCTCTCTCTCCTTGGTATGGCTTTGCATTCTCGGCTTAACATCGATCGGCGTATTCTCGACTTGGATCAGCCCCAGATCACTAGTACTCCAGCTCCAGACCTATTCCAAGCATCCGAGTCGAACGCACTGCGATGACCTCGGAGCCCGGCACGGACGTCATTCAACACCGATGGATGCAGATGCGGCTATCAGTCGATTGCACCGAGTGGAGACAGCTGGATACCTCTGGAGTCTGGATGCAGATGGCTGCACCGCTGTTCTGATATAGCATCTTTTAATTTCAATTATCTACCAGTCAGTCAGCCCAAGATAGTGGAAGGTGTGCTATCACTGTCAAGATTAATGCTAGCGATTGGGGAAGTTTCCATGGAGTACTGATACGGCGTGATTCAGACAAGGCGTACGTAGTTGTCAGTCTAGGATCTCTGAGGCTAGGAGTGACCAGCGTCTTTGACTGCGCACCGCACATGTGTTAGGGTGCCTCGTGCCTTCAAAGCGTTGAGCAAAGAATGAAAGATTACCGCTGTTTATCGAAGATCCGCGCCACCAAACACAAAACACCAGCGCTATAATAAAGTCTGACGATCAAACTCGTAACTCCGAATTCCATCCGTCACTTCTGATAAAATTGACGGCAAAGCCCAGGCTGATGATAACAGTTACGGTAGATGGCATACATGCAACGTACACGTACGCTATGACATGACATGTTGCTATTTGGTCCGCGTGGGGAAAATAAGCTTGGGGCACGATGTTCTTTGGCCTGCGCTCATCGCACATCTTTGGCCATGCACATCACACGCGCCGGAAGCCTCGCGTTTTGTCAAATTAACATCTCACAGTTGATCCGCAGTATAAAGTACGGGGACCATTAGAAGGGAATGGAAGGGGGCGCTATCTCAGCAATTAATATCGTTGTCGGAAGGTTCCATGCAGGCACATCAGGGCGTAATCTAGAGACTATGTCGGGGGTGATCAGCGTCTGTTGCTGCATAATGACACTGCACACACTCATCGCGAGAGCCTCGTGCCCACCGGTCAATATCAAGTGACCATCGCCGCTGCAGCGTTGTTTGTCCGATGCAGTCCACTTGATCCACCCACAGCTAGCAAAATATTAAAAGAGCTTATCGTCTCATGTCATGCGGATCGATGATCTCAAACCCCAGTATCATAGTACCGATCCCATCAAAGCCGAATTCAACCCGCTCATCATCTAACGGCAATAGTACAGATTGTGGCAGTTCAATGTTAGTTACGATAGATCACGACGTACAGTGGATGACGGAAACATTTAATAATACAAACAACCCCAACAAAGGAGATAGATAGCACAACAACGAACGGATGACAGGTAACAACAAACCAGTGTCTATCTTATGTTTATAGTAAGTGAAATGAGTGCGGTGAGAACAAAAACTCAGCGACAAAAAACAAACGGGGAAAAGGAGGGATAATCCAGATTCCAGATAAAAAGAACCATACGTATATATCAGAAGCGCCAGTCATGTGCGATTAGCCCACATATGCACGATATTAGGCCCACCAACGACTGGAGTAGGAGCGACGATCTGTGGGCCGTCGACATTCCCTGTATTTGAAAAAGGACCATGTCCTCCACTTGTGAAAGAACCATGCCCGGTGTTTGTAGACGGACCATGCCCGGTACTTGTAAAAGAACCACCCCCAGCGCCTGTCAAAGGACGCGCAGCATGATCGTGCATCGAAAGCGAAGCATCAAAATGGAGCGATAGCGCGTTGCTATTCGTATATGAAGAACTGCCACTGGGAACGCGCGTTGTCGTCCCTTCTTCGTATCCCGTTGGTTGCGATGTATGTCGACGATTATAAGTGTGCTGGGTGCGAGAGGATTGGACATGAGAGAGGCGATTTGGAGGGCGAGAGGTGTGATTTGGAGGGCGAGAGGTGTGATTTGGTGGACGTGAGGTGGGACCGGGTGGAAAAGAAGTACGACTCGCAGCATACGAAGACTGCGCACGATACCTCCACTCCTCATCATGCACCGCATAATCCACATCCCCTCCATCTTCAAGAATAAGACCCAATGCATCTGGTTCAGCGGTAGGTATGGGTATAACAGGTGTCACGCTGATATCTTCTCCGTCCTCATCTGTTGTATCTTCGTCTGACTCTAGGCGACCTATTATAGACTCGCCGGCAATGCTCCCCTGCCCACGCACGCCCCCGTTGTGCAGCCCTAGGAGGCCGAGGTGATCCATGCTGCCTGCTCGTGAGGTGGATATGGTTCCCCATGTGGTAGCGCTTCTTGGGCTTTCTGCGTCTGGTGTTGGATCCAGGGAAGGGATAAGTGCTCGGGGTCTAGGCATGCGGATTTGTGTGTCGTTGGGACGGGACGGTGCCCCATCGTTGAGACGGGCAGAGCCGGCTGCGCTGTCATTCAAACGCACCGATCCTACTACTACGTTCCCATTCGACATCGGTAACCCAACATCGAAACCAAGAACCTGGCCGACACTCTGCACCGCCGCTCGGCGTCCCACGCCATTATCAGGCGGTGGCGTACCAAGCAGAGGCACATCCGAAAGACCCCTGGAAACATTCCCCACTCGAGCCGCCTGAACAACGTTCTGCACCGTCGCCCGGCGTCGCATACCATTCACAGGTGGTAGTGAACCAAGCGGTACGTCTGGATAACCTCTAGAAATATTATCCGCTCGAGCGGTTTCAGTCACAGCCCGTCTGGGAACGGGTCGTGCTCGAGCCACAGGCGTCGTATGGTCGTCTCCCGACGAGTCGATCAAGCCCAGAACATCCGTGACTTGTTCTGGTGATTGCGTCTCTAACAACGGAAAGGCCCTTTCATTGCCACCAGTCGACGACATGTACGGAGCACTGATTAGCTGATAGCCTGATTCGTACCCTGAGCCATAGCCTGAGACGTAAGCTGCGGCGGATGCTAATCGCGTGGACAGATTATTCGCTACGTCTGCGCTGACATTAGTGCTGCTCCTCATCTTTGCGTCTTAGCTCTCTCTCGTCGTCAGATCGCCGATCCTCGACGACGAGGGGGCGCGCTGCCCAGGTGGGAGAAGGATTTATACGGCCAGCGCTGGGAGGGATGTGTGCTCCGCGGGCCGTGATGTTTATTTTCGGCTGAGACTCAGGTGCACGGCTGTGTATGGATGATGCACGGGGCCGTCGCGTGTTGTCTGTCCAGTGTTCTTCTACCCGAGGAACCTCGGGAGGTCTGGTATTGGATATAGGTAGGGTCTTGGGGGGATGAGGAACTGGCTTATGGGATGAGCTTGTCCCCTTAGATCCTGAGGCGTGGGCATCGCCATTGACGTGGGTGGTGTTATCCCGTGGAGGTGGTGCGGGATATGGAACGGCGCCGCCCAGGAGAGGGTCGAGACCTCCGCCAGGCCTTGCAAAGGTCGGGAATCGATCGATTGGCAGGGGCTCTGGAGGCGCGGGGAGGGGGTTACTGGTGTTGCGATATCGGGGTTGCGGGTTTCTAAGGTTTTCTAGCTCAGAATGCAATTGGGACAGCTACGAGGATGTGAGGTAAGTCCGATGTAAATGCCAGTGAAGCAAATGATCACCTCTCTACATAGAGAAAGTTATTTAGAAAATATTCGTTAACTTGCGATTGGTGACTCACAGAGCATGTTCATTCTCTATTTCTTGAATCCTGGAAAGTAGACTTTCTTCCACTGCGCGAGATGTTTTGGAGTCGTGGTCCGCATTTCGCTTGTTGTTCCGAAGTTGGCTTCGGAGGCGACGATATTCTGCTTTTTCACGCTCGCTCTGATCTTGAAGAGCTTTGTATCGCTGAAGGGAAGTCACGGCAGCTCGAAGAGCCATATGCTAAAAATGCCACAGGTAAGAAATTGAAAAGAATTGAATTGACAGCAAGGACCACTATTTGCAGTGCTTAAAAGGACTCACAGAATTAGGGTCATCCGGTTGAGACTGCAGCCATTCCTGCACTTCGGTGACTACTTCAACGACATCTACCTCGGGAGTGTCTTCACCTGAGACTAGAGCTATGTGCTGGAGGAGGAGGCTGGCATGAGCATCGATAGCATTCTGTTCAGCATCATCTAATTCGGGTGGATTCGCAAGGTGAAGTTTCTTGACACGATCTGACTGGAAAGGTTTGCGGCAAAGTGGACATGCACTTGGTAATAAGGAGCGAAGGCACCTAGGATTGAAGAGTCGGATAAGAGAGGAGAGACATGAATATTGGTGGCCGTAAGCTGGCCGGGACTATGAACGCACGTGAGACAGAAGATGTGACCACAAGCGATTGCATGTGGAGAATTGGCGGGTTCTGAAGAGATAGAGTAGGGATCGAGGCAGACGTCACAACAACTTGCGGGATGAACTGACAAGCATACCTAGTTCATAACAAAAGTTGTCTACCACATGTCTATGAGGGCGGTGTCAACGTGCAATACACTGCTATGATGACTCAGCTAGTACTCGGTGGGCTTAACAGCAATTAACGCCGCTGAGTCATCATAGCTGTGCTCTCCATTCTACCCAGGAGGCTCCGTGGCGTTCGTTGTTCGTCTCACCGCACTATCATACCCAGTAGCTTTGAAGGCCAATATATCGCACTTGAAAGTGGGTCACTCCCGGGCCAATGATATCACTGTCCACAGCTGGTATTCGTTTTGCGACGCTCAGGTTGGTTGTATCGACAGTCACCAGTGGAAACTTCTTCAAGTGACTCTCAGAGACCTGGATTTGTTCAGGAATGGTGAATGGACTTTAGTTGGGCCCTGCCTTGCTTGACCATCTTAGTGTGCGATATCGGAAAACGAAATAATCTATTCTACAAAGTGCATAGCTATGTGAGACTGTCAAGTTTCGGTGTACTGCATTTTTACTTATGTTTGATGCAGTAACGTCAACTGAGTCCTTGGACAATTGATTTGATCAACCCTGTTCGTGGCAGGGTCCTGTACGTCAAAATACCTCTGCAGTGTGCACACGTGTTCGTTGAAATCACATAAAAGGCTTGACAAGTTTCACTTAACTTTCATCCCTCAGACAGTGCAGTTTCACCTGAACGATGACAGCCTTTAAGCTCGATTTCACTCATTCACGCGAGTATTCTCCCGTCAACGTGAACTGGCCGGCTGCCCACATACATATGCTGCCAGTGGAACTTCTACAGCAGGTATTCTTGCTCATCGTCAATGACGTTCCAGACTGTCCTGGTGTCTTCTCTTATGGAGAAACCACCATCTCCGCCAATGTTGGCAGCCCTCCCCTAGTATTCACCCGTGTGTGCCGTTTTTGGCGAGTCATTGCACATTCAACGACAGCGGTCTGGTCGCGTATGCAGGTCTCCCTTCCGGGACGAGTCGAACCCTTGACACCGTTTCTTCCATCTCTCCTCCAGTCGTGGCTTGCACGCTCTGGCGATCAGCCTCTCACCCTCCGCATCCTATCCGGAGAGCTCCCCGTACGCACCACACGCCGCTGCACGCGACAGTCGTGCCACGAACCCTCGCAGGCAGATTCTCAACTGCTCGGAATCCTTCTTTCTGAGAGGAAGCGTTGGGGAACTGTGACTCTGGTGTCCGCAGACGACTGGAATCGTGACTTCGACACACCCCAATTGAGATCCTTGCAGTGTTGCTGGTCAGAACTCAGCAGTTTCAATGCACCAAACCTCACACATCTACACATCACTTATCGCTGGTCTCTTACCATGCGATTCAGACACACTCCCACCTGTGACAACGTACGTCATCTCTGGGTCGAGAATGCTTCTGCCCACGTTATACGCTCCTCTTTCCTCATGTTTCCTCGTATGGAGTCCATCAAGGTGGATCAAATCAGATCTGAAAATGGTTATCCACATAATTCAACCACCCACTCTTGCCTCGAATCGATCACTTTCCCCATCCCCTCGGATCCTTTTCAACAACGCGAAGTTCTCAAAATATTTGGCGAACTTTGTCTTCCCATGTTGCGCAAATTGACGCTTGTGGCAGATCCAGAAGAATCAGAAGTTTCTTGTATTGTGGCAGCGCTGGAAATTGCATCTTGCGACGTACAGGTGGTAGACTTTCAGACGACCATACTGTTGAGCGAAGTTGATGTGGATGTCATTGAGCCGTTGTTTTCGGTCGCGAGGGAGGTTACTGTTCATGGGAGGTGCTCCGCCGTCCTGTCAGGCAGTAGTACTGTGTTCCTCGTTGGTGACACGATAGGTATTGGATATATATGTTACAATAGCGAATCTCGGTATATAATATCATATATATGTTACAGTAGCGAATCTCGGTATATAATATCATAGTTGAGGAATTACAGGATAGGTCAGCGTACAAAATTTATCGAGCTCGAAAGTTGCTGATATCACAAGTTCCTGGACTGGCCATTACAAGAACAGCGTAGGTCCGTGGGGACCTTGCGGGGAACTACCAAACTACACCAAGCGGACAAAGGGTTTGAGGTAAGCAGGCAAGGGAGGAGGTGAGCTGAAATGAGAGTGGGAAGCGGGAAAAACGCCACGAGAGATACCATCTGCCAGGTTATCGCAAGACCTCACCCATTCAATAGAGATCCGGATGCCGTGTTTCAGAGCAAAGGAAGAGAGACGTTGCAAAATGTCATTATGGACAAAGTTGCGAGAGCGACCAGCTTTAAGGGCTTGAACACAACCCTGGTTGTCGGAACGGAAGCGCACACAAACGTCACGAAGACCCGAGCAGACAAGGGCGCGAAGACCGAGGTCGATCGCTACCATTTCTGCCCACCCGATATCTCGACCATCTGCCCTCCAGCCGTCCAACAATTCCCAAGCGAGCCAGCGGGAATCAGCGAGGAAACCGATGCCAAACGAAGTAGAAGCATCGACAAAAACAGGTGATGGGGGTGATGGGGGAAGGTCGGGAAATAGTAGACGAAGCGTGGCACTTTCTAGTTGAGTGCCTCGAATACCATCATCTATGTCTGATATACTGGCACGGTGCCGCAGCTCTGAATAAAAGTTCATCATCTTCGAGTTGACAGATCAATTCTTCGGGGCTTACGTCGTATCTGTGCATCTGGGGTATCATCCAACTTGGAGAACATGGTTTCGAAGGCCTCTTCTGCTTCATTACAGCGCACAGCGCCGTGAAGCGCTGCAGTCCTTAATTGGTACCCTAGGTAAGAAGAAGGATTGAGTTTAATGACCTATGCAATTAGTAGGATAAGTACAACTGCTAGAAATGATAACTATCATCCTCACCCTGTTCGCGTCGTGAAGAGCCGCCGCGAAGAGGTTGCGTTCCAAATTTGCTTTACTGCGATGCACAAAGAGTGCCTCGCATGAAGAGTCCAGCTCGATCCCTGCTGAATACAGTTCAATAGCTGTTTCATATTTTTCCGCAGCAACAGCCTCGTCTCCCTTTGCGACACAGCGCGCAGTGCAATCCTCCTTGAAGGCTAAACAATACCAGAGTAAGTGTCGATGTCCAAGTCGTCTTAAGACCCCAAAGCACTCACCAGTAGACCATTCGAGGTCCTTGTCCTTCACATCCTCGTCGATCATGGACATCATGTGTTGGTGGGATTCGATCGCTTCGATCACTCGATCGGCACACAGGCATGCTTCGCACCGTGTTTGGTTGACGGTTTGCCATGACCAATCCAAGTCCCAGCCGAAGAGCTGTCCGGCATATCATCAATCAGTAAAAATGTGCTCTGTGACCTCGTGACGCACCACCGTGAATATCTTCAATCTAGGTTCAAAAAGTGCTCTGCTCGATAACAAGTCGGTTATAGTGGGAATACTACGGTCGAGTTGATCGGCGGCTTCGCTGTATCGCCCATCTCGGAAAGCAATTTTTGCAAGCTGCACGCGTAGATACGACTGACAGTTTGGTTGAGAGTGAGAAAACTCTGAAATCTGACACAAAGCTCACATTCACAACGTTGCACGGAATTGGACCTGAGTGTTGAGAAGCGGTCGTGAGGTCTTGAACTCGCCGCACTGCCTCATCGTGGCGACCGGCATCGAAAAGTGCAATAGCCTGGACAAAATGATATCGAAGTCTTGGTGTGACAAACTGACTGTTAGAAATAGCTGATGACAGTACCTTGATCAATAGTAAAAGATTGATGATATCCGGATCATTATTGGAAAATACAAAAGCGAAATCGAAAGCTTCCATCGCGTCCCAGAGCTGCTTGTTGCCGCAGAGAGCGATGCCCTTGGAAATGTAGCCCAATAATGAGGGCTGGATAGCAATGGACTGTGCAAAACAACTGAGTTACTTGTCTCGACGGCATCATGAGAGGCAGAATGTCTGACCTTGACTGCGTCTTGAAGCGCATCGTCCCACTCGGACTTCCGCGCCCTTACGATTGAGCGATTAGCATACGTGTCACGTCTGTTGTCATCTTCGTCAAAATCAATCTCATGGGTCAGGAGGTCTTCGATGATATGAAGGTCCCCAGCATTGCGGACCGTCGACTTTATAGCGAAGGTCTACATAAAGCAAGTCCACGTTCAGTCAAAAGTGAACGAAGACAGATAGCTCACGTCAAATAATGAGTCTTGGTCGTCACTGCCAGAGGAGTCACTTGTACTGTCCTGATCGACAGAGAGCTCGTTGTGATCGCCGTTATCGCCGGTATGTTCATCGTCGCTGTCGCGACTACTCTGTGAGTCAGCGCGGAAAAAAATGTCTGGATGAATAGAAAGGCAGAACAATGACGAGTAAGAACATACCTGCATTTCGCTGCTGCAAGAAAAAAATTGCTCTCCTTGTGCTTCTTCGTCCTCTGTTGCGCTTTCATCCACGTTGCCTTGCTCCAGTATGTCCCTGACAGACCAAAGCTGCAGATTCCCATCATCGCTTCCACTTACGAGCAGTTCTGCATTGGGAGAAATTGCGACAGAGTGAACTTTTTTGGTGTGTTCAAGTACATGTCCTATCTGCTTATGCGTCTTTGTGCACCACAACCGCACAGTGCTGTCGTCCGATGCTGTGGCGATGAAGGAGTTATCTGAAGAGATGGCAAGACAGGTGATCCAACGAGTGTGACCGATGCACGGTTCACCGATCTTTTCTCCATTATACGAATTCCAGAACTTGGCTGTGTTGTCGGATGATCCAGAGACAAGCTGGTTGCCGTCAGGCGACCACACAACACTTCGAACTGACCATTGGCCAGCGTTGATCTTGAGTAGACATTCGGCGTTAACGGTGCGCCACACCCGGATGGTATGATCAGATGATCCGGATGCTAATTTTAGCCCATCCGGGCTGAATGACACACTCCACACGTGTACCGTCTTACGACGATGTTGATTGTCGAGTGTTGCAAGGACTGCGCCAGTCTCCGCATTCCATACAACAACCGTCGAATCATGCGAACCGCTTGCGACCCTCTTTCCATCCGGGGAGAAGCACACAGAGTTCACCTTCTCTGTATGCTTCACCAGCGGATTGAGTACTATCTGCTTGCTCTCGGTGTCCCAGATGATGACGGTGGCATCATCTCCACCACTCGCAATTCGCGAGTCGTCTGGAGATATGGCGACTGATCGTATCCGGTCCGTGTGCCCCTTGAATGGCCCTCCCACCATTTCTCCTGTCTGCCGCACGTCTAAAATTCGCAGGGTTTTATCGTGCGAACCAGTGACAACCCGTCGACCGTCTTTGAAGAATGCCACTGCCCACACTTTGTTCTTGCACCGTCGCACTGTCTTCGTTGGCGCCGGCTGCCCTTTCAAGGTATCTCTTACTGTGTCAGGTACCCCTGACATGCCGTGTGACCTAGACAAAGAAATAGACGGTCAGTTATAATAAGTTCAAGTTGACAGGGAGCGTACGTTTGGGATATAGTTCTTGTGTGTGGTGAGTTGTTGGATTTCTCTCTGAAGTCGCAACTCATGTCCTAGGTACTTATATAGGATTCTTGGTGGGTCCATACCACGCCGCTACAGCATGGATCTCACGTCGCTTCTTCTATCATCGCCCAGTCTAGCTTCATATACAATTCATTCCACATTGCAATACTGCAAAACAAGACACGTCAATGTGATAGATTCATCTGAGTCTACCGCAGTGATGGTTTCAGTATACCATATTACTCTGTAGTAGAGCTCAAGGAAAATAGGCAGTGCGAATCCCTCCGACTTCTGACAAAGAGTCAACCCATATTTGTGTTCGAACACGTGCGTCGAATATGATGGCATGAGACTAAGCAGTAGGTACTGTCTGTGCTCGTAGTATATAGATCTGTGATGATGAACTCGAACAAATGTAGCAGTATTGATCTAATCGAGCCAAGGGACATCCAAAACCTGAAGATATCGGGCATCATTGAAGGTAGAAGTTGACAACGCAACGAACCTTTTAGATGGATGCTCGTCAAATGTGAGTTCTACTGTGTGCACTATCTACTTCAAAGATATTGACAGCATAGCTAGGCGTGATGTAGCGATGTTTGTCACCTCATACCCAACCCCTGACGTGTCCTTCAATCTTGACAAAGGAAAATATACTGCTGGTCCCATTACGCTCTTGCTTGTGATGCAGACGAGGATCCTGGTGATCAGGCTGTTGCCGCACCTTTCGGCCCGGCAAAAAAGATCGCAAATCGGTGGCTCGTAGTACTTGGGGAGCCCACCACGAAACAGCTGTCATCAATCAACTGCATTAAGACTCTCGGTAAAATTGGAGCTCACACTACTGCAACCACAGTTTGAAACCCTCGTCATCTGCGATTCATATGTTGGCGCAGATCATGGTCTAAGCTTCCAACTGATGTTACCAAGGGTGGTGAGGACAGTGATAAACACTGTCCACAGAGATGCATCGAAATTTTACATTTGTCATACGGCTTTCTTGTAGATGGTTAATCGTCTAATATTCACTTGGATATACTGCAAATTTCCGACAGCTAAAGATAATTACTGTCGTGCGAAGCCAACTATCCTTTATCAGGAATATCTTCACTGTACGCGCTCAGTGAATCTCGTCTTGAAGGATGTGATCACAAACTCCTAAAGGCAGTAAAGAGTAAGTTTTTGGTCGTTCGCGTAGATGGATGCATACCTCATCATGGGTTTGCTTCAAGCTCGGACGGTCCAGTATTCGCTGAACGTATTTCATGAATTTGGCAAATTTGGGTCCTTTTAACTCCTCGCCTAACTTATACCCCATCCCGACAGGGAATCTGCCTGTTGCCAATTAATCAAATTCAACTTCCCGAGAAAAGGCGCGAGCCGGTGCTCTACCTAAGTCAGTTTCGGTGACCACCTTGAGCCTTGCAATAAGCGGAGAGATGCATGCATCTGCGATAGTGTAGTGATCTCCAACCGCGAAATCTCCACCCTCCTCAAGAAGTTCTTGAATAAACTCAATTCCCTTCAGGATATTGTCGTACGACTCCCTCCCTAGGATGAAGGCATAACACGATCCCTCGATATGTTTATTACTCGCATCCATGAAGAAACGGACTTTGGCGCGTAAAACAGGATCCTTTGGCAGCAGGCCGGAGTCTGGATAGAGGTCCGCTAAGAACTCAAGGATGACATTCGATTCCGCGATTTTAGCGGACAGGGGCGAAGGATCATCGGGCTCGACATTGGGTCCCCCATATGTCACAACAGGCACCTATAGTTATAGTGTCACATTCGTCTGCAATAGACACAGAATGTCATCACACATACCTTGCCGACCGGGTTCACTTTACTGGCGAACCACTCTGGTTTATTAGAGAGATCGACCTGGTACGTTCTGTGGGGTGCATTGGCTTCGGCAAGAGCCAATTCGATCTGTCAATTTGCGTCAGAGACTCGTGAGATAGTGTCAGCAGTTATTTCACCTTTTGGCTATAGGGCGAGAGCTGCAGAGTTGGGTCAGACAGGTTTTCCACTTCACTCACCGTCGTTCCTCACCTTGTGAAGGTACAAAGTCAGCTGTTCGGACATGATGATTTGAGTAACAGCACTTCAACAAAGGAATGCTCAGGTTTATATACGAGACAAGCAGAGCCTTAGGCCCATTGGTCATCGCATCACTAACTAACAGACTAGTCAGAGGTCAACAATATTTAAAATTAGGCCCAGGTGGCTCAAAGTAGCCGCCTAATTATAACATCGTGGCGCCGCTGACGCGCCAGTTCCCGACTCCACCGGCCCTTGCCATCTTCTCATATGTGAAATTCTTCTCCCCCACTACCGTGGGAGTCAGGAATGGGTGTATGAGATAAGCAAGCGGATGTTGAAACTAACCCTAGCGGCACGCAGCGCCCACCATGAATCGAGTCAGGCTCCAAACCCTCCTAGTCGTTACGCGTTATTCCTGAACCTTTTCTACCTTAAGCCTCATAAACTTCAACATCCCATGCGTAAACCTTGACTTCCTAAACCTTTTCAACAATCCTAAACCTTCCAGATTGATCTGATAGCATGTTGTTGCAATGTTGCATGTATATTTAATTCCATAATTCCATATAATTTTTGAGCAAGATCAAATTCGAAATACATGAGTAATCTATGGAGGTTCTGAAAGGCTGATTCATGGTAGGCGTAGTTAGGCGGGTACTTGGAGTCACCCTTTTAAAATCATACCCCGGTAGCTTGGTGAATGAGTCAGTTGCTGACTGAGACCCACCTGCTGGTTCACGTTATATCATTACGAACTTCATCGACAATTGAGCTTACTATGCAAATTCCATGTGAGCACATAGGCCCCGGGAGAAGGCAGCGTTGGGCCCATCTGCCGTCACTATTGGTTACGGTCTATTCGTGATGATCACGAGTAGACCGTAACCGATAGTAATCAGCAGATTCATAAGCTTAACGAAAGCTTCAGCTCCTTGCGTCTGTCAAATGGTAGCGCTTAGTCCCTCGGTCTCAGTCATACGTAGCCTGGCACTTACCAGTATTCATCGAGCGAATGAGCCTTGCCCCTTCACAGCCGGTCCATCACCACCGGCACGCCCGCTGTCCTCGGGCACGTAGGACCGTCAAGTTCAATCTTGCTTGTGATGCTGAAGAGGATCCTTGTGATCAGGCTGTTGCCCCACCTTTCGACCCCGCAAAAAAGACCGCAAATTGGTGGCTCGTAGTTGGGGAGCCGAGCACGAAACAGCCGTTATCAATCAAGTGCATAAAGACTCTCGGTGAAATTGGAGTTCACACTACCGCAAGCGAACCACACTTTGAAACCCTCGTCATTTGCGATTCATGTGTTGGCGCAGATCATGGTCCAACTGATGTTGCCAAGGGTGGTGAGACTGAGGACACTGATAAACACTGTCCGTACTAGACATACATCGAAATTTTACATTTGTCATACGGCTTTCTTGTAGGTGGTTCATCGTCTAATATTCACTTGGATATACTGCAAATCTCCGACAGCTGGAGATCACTGTCGTACGAAGCTAACTACCTGTCAACAGGTATATCTTCACTGTACACGCTCACTGAATCTCGTCTTAAAGAATGTGATCACAAACTCCTAAAGGCAGTAAAGAGTAAGTTTTTGGTCGTTCGCGTAGATGGATGCATATTACCTCATCATTGCTTTGCTTCAAGCTCGGACGGTTCACCATTTGCTGAACGTATTTCATGAATTTGGCAAATTTGGGTCCTTTTAACTCCTCGCCTAACTTGTACCCCATCCCGACAGGGAATCTGCCTGTTGCCAATTAATCAAATTCAACTTCTCGAGAAAAGGCACGAGCCCGTGCTCTACCTAAGTCAGTTTCGGTGACCATCTTGAGCCTTGCGAGAAACGGAGAGATGCATGCATCTGCGATAGTGTAGTGATCTCCAACCGCGAAATCTCCACCCTCCTCAAGAAGTTCTTGAATAAACTCAATTCCCTTCAGGATATTGTCGTACGACTCCTTCCCTAGGATGAAGGCATAACACGATCCCTCGATATGTTTAGTACTCGCATCCATGAAGAAACGGACTTTGGCGCGTAAAACAGGATCCTTTGGCAGGAGGCCAGAGTCTGGATAGAGGTCCGCCAAGAACTCAAGGATGACATTCGATTCCGCGATTTTAGCGGACAGGGGCGAAGGATCATCGGGCTCGACATTGGGTCCCCCATATGTCACAACAGGCACCTATAGTTATAGTGTCACATTCGCCTGCAATAGACACAGAATGTCATCATACATACCTCGCCAACCGGGTTCACTTTGCTGGCGAACCACCCTGGTTTATTCAAGAGATCAACCTCGTACGTTCTGTGGGGTGCATTGGCTTCGGCAAGAGCCAGTTCGATCTGTCAATTTGCGTCAGAGACTCGTGAGATCGTGTCAGCAGTCATTTCACCTTTTGGCTATAGGGCGAGAGCTACAGAGTTGTGGGTCAGACAAGTTTTCCACTGTGCTCACCATCGTTCCTCACCTTGTAAAGGTACAAAGTCAGCTGTTCGGACATGATGATTTGAGTAATAGCACTTCAGCAAAGGAATGCTCGGGTTTATATATAAGATAAGCAGAGCTTTAGGCCCATTGGTCATCGCATCACTTCCTGGAGAGCCGATACTAGGTACTGCTAGAGTTATTCGTAATCAGGGAGGGTTATCATTGTGTGGGAATGAATCTTACTAACCAACAGACTAGATCATACCCCGGTGGCTTTCAGTTGAGATCAACCTGGTGGTTTACGTTATATCATTATGAACTTCATCGAGAACTGAGCTTTACTATGCAAATTACATTTGTCATACGGCTCTCTTGTAAAGTTGTAGATGGTTCATCGTTTAATATTCACTTGGATATACTGCAATTTACTGGCAGCTAGAGATTACTGTCGTACGAAGCTAACCATCTGTCAAAAGGTATATCTTCACTGTACGCGCTCAGTGAATCTCGTTTTGAAGAATGTGATCACAGATTCCTAAACGCAGTAAAGAGTAAGTTTTTGGTCGTTCGCGTAGATGGATGCATACCTCATCATGGGTTTGCTTCAAGCTCGGACGCTCCAGCATTCGGTGAACGTATTTCATGAATTTGGCAAATTTGGGTCCTTTTAACTCCTCGCCTAACTTATACCCCATCCCGACAGGGAATTTGCCTGTTTCCAAATAATCAGATTCAACTTCTCGAGAAAAGGCGCGAGCAGGTGCTCTACCTAAGTCAGTTTCGGTGATGATCTTGAGCCTTGCGAGAGACGGAGAGATGCATGCATCTGCGATAGTGTAGTGATCTCCAACCGCGAAATCTCTACCCTCCTCAAGAAGCTCTTGAATAAATTCAATCCCCTTCAGGATATTGTCGTATGACTCCTTCCCTAGGATGAAGGCAAGACTTGATCCCTCGATGTGTTTAGTACTCGCATCGATGAAGAAACGGACTTTGGCGCGCAAAACAGGATCCTTCGGCAGGAGGCCAGAGTCTGGATAGAGGTCCGCCAAGAACTCAAGGATGACATTCGATTCCGCGATTTTAGTGGACAGGGGCGAAGGATCATCGGGCTCGACATTGGGTCCCCCATATGTCACAACAGGCACCTATAGTTATTATGTCACATTCGTCTGTAATAGACACAGAATGTCATCACACATACCTTGCCGACCGGGTTCACTTTACTGGCGAACCACTCTGGTTTATTGAAGAGATCAACCTGGTACGTTCTGTGTGGTGCATTGGCTTCGGCAAGAGCCAGTTCGATCTGTCAATTTGCGTCAGAGACTCGTGAGATAGTGTCAGCAGTCATTTCACCTTTTGGCTATAGGGCGAGAGCTACAGAATTGTGGGTCAGACAAGTTTTCCACTGTGCTCACCATCGTTCCTCACCTTGTAAAGGTACAAAGTCAGTTGTTCGGACATGATGATTTGAGTAATAGCACTTCAACAAAGGAATGCTCGGGTTTATATACAAGACAAGCAGAGCTTTAGGCCCATTGGTCATCGCATCACTTCCTGGTGAGCCGATAACTGCTAGAGTTATTCGTAATCAGGGAAGGTTACTGTGTGAGAATGAATCTTACTAACTAACAGACTGGTCAGAGGTCAATCATACCCCGGTAGCTTGGTGAATGAGTCAGTTGCTGACTGAGATCAACCTGCTGACTGAGATTCGCCTGCTGGTTCACGTTATATCATTACGAACTTCATCGACAATTGAGCTTACTATGCAAATTGCATGTGAGCACATAGGCCCCGGGAGAAGGTAGTGGGATTCTAGATTTAGGAAGCGCTGGGCATCTGCCGTCACTATTGGTTACGGTCTATTCGTGATGATCACGAGTAGACTGTAACCGATAGTAATCAGCAGATTCATAAGCTTAATGAAAGCTTCAGCTCCTTGCGTCTGCATCCTTATACCTGTAAAATGGTGGCGCTTAGTCCCTCGGTCTCGGTCATACGTAGCCTGGCACTTGCCAGTATCCATCGAGCGATTGAGCCTTGGCCCTTCACAGCCCGACCATCACCACTGGCACGCCCGCTGCCCTCGGGCACGTAGGACCGTCAAGTTCAACACTATCGTAAGTCTAGGACGACCGGTTCAGCGTCATTTTACTGATCCTGGTGGGGGACATAGGCTCTTCCTAACGCCTCTCAATATTGGCTCCGGCAGAGCCCAGCTGTAATCAGCTATGCGACATACAAGAAAACAGCTTTTTTTTTCCATATTCCGAAGATTTTGTTTGTCGTAGAAGGTAAAAAATGAAGGGTTTGAACAGCGTTGCGCAGATTGGGCAGACTTGGTTCTGGCGTATAGCGGTCAGCCGTCGCTATCACGCCTGAGAAATATAAGAACGATGACATTCCTCACAAGGCTACCTGATATACAGCTCATCGTCGAAATTCTATCTGAACGACTTCTTCAACAATCATTTGCGAGAACGACCTTCAATCAGAAGTTACGTGTCAATAAGATGGCATGAAGTCTGACGCTGAGCGGCATTTACAAAGTACAGCCTAAGAAATGGCGGGTGGCACCTCTGTCCGCCAGCCCCGGGGGACAAAAGATCATTGGCCCCGTCCAAAGAGTTTGTGATGGATTCATCCACACCAGTAAGTTAATCAGTGTTGAGATGAAAGATGTCGGCGATGAAAGGAAATCGCCCGGAGAGTTCTTTGATTTAGTCTTTTTTTGTCCGGGGAGAGGCATAACGATCAAGAAGATTCGAGATCGCGATGATGGTACATTTCGTAACCACAGTTCTCCATTCCATATGGTTGCATGATCAATGTCACTAGAGTCCTGGTTTGTTTGTAAGTCCTCCTGATAGGTAGGCCTTTCCAGAAAAAGTACGGTGGAGTGGTTGGATGATTATGCATTAGCTTGGGTACGATAGCTGGGATCACCACTGAGTACTGAGGACCAGATCTAATGATAATTCTCGCATTGAGCTGTGCAACGCGCAAAGATGATGCGCTGGTGGTGGTCCCTAGTATGGTGGAAGAGTTGTGTTTTGACACGCTATTTGTATTATTATGTTGAAATTTCTCTCAAAATGGAATGTAAGTAAGCGAGGAAATTGCGATTACTGCCATAAGCTGCCGCATCTTGCACCGGTCAAACTTGACTCGAGCCCCAGACGACGTAGGTGCATTCGATAGCCATCTGACCGTGCTTTCATGACAATTTGCAACAGCCAACAGTGCTCTACGTCTGATACAGAATCTGGCTGTCACTTATGCGTTACGGACTGCCACGGTCGACTTCACCATCTCCTGAACGGAGGTACGTGCACAGTGCATGCCACAGTGAGCCAGGCTAACTCAGTATCCATCAGGTCTCGCAGACGCACCTCCACTTTCGGTCTCCCATCAGATACCGAAAGCGATCTCGAAGAGCCACGAACAGATTCAGACTCAGAACTATCATCCCCAAGCTCCCTTTCATCAGACTCATTTTGCTACGAGTCTGAATCACAAGTCCCGCCACCACCTCCGTGCGTGTATTATCATCACTATCATATTTGTGCTCACACTCACTTACGTTACTTTTTCAGCCGCCCAAAGCGCGAGCCACGCAGTTCAGCTGAACAGCGTCATGCAGAGGACACAGTAGCTGCTATCCGCTTACGCACACGATACCATGATCCCTATGAAGAATGGGAGAAACAAACGCGCAAGGATGCATTCGTGCGTAGCTATCAGTTCTTTCTACGCGGTCTACCCCCTGACAACCTCTCAAATAGCACACAGCGCGCAGAGCACAAGTTCAGACGCGTTTAGAGACGCAAAGGCGGCGTACCCAGCGTAACACGCAGGAACTGCAATCATTGGCAACTATGCACGCTGCGCAGCTCGCGGAAGTGCAGAAGCAGCTCGCAACATTGCAGGTGCGACAACAGGTGGAAGTTAATAAGCTCGTAAGTAGTTGGCAGGAGCAAGATAAGACATTTCGCGGTAGGATAGAGGGCGTTATTCGCGTGGAAGAGGAGAAATTACGTGCCAAACTCGAAGCTGAGCGCAAAGCGCGGGAAGAGGCGGAGAAAAAACGGAAGGAGGAAGAAGAGAGACGCAAAGTGGAGGAAGAGGTGAAGCGGAAAGAAGAGGAACAGGCACAAAGGCAGCGGGAGACAGAAGCAGCTGCAAAACACCAAGAAGAGGAGAAAGAGCGTTTACGCAGGGATAAGCTGGACGCCGAGGAACAGGGCAGGGCACAACTGGGAATGTCATTGGCCGAAGAGGATTGGGTGCACGCTCGTGAAACTCTGAAGGTGAACCTGCTACTTCTGACCGCGTATCGCGATACTAATGCCTAGTTCAGAATCTTAAAGCCGGGCCAATGAAGACAGTTAAGGAGAACAAGCCACTCAAGTCCCAATGGAGCGCCATTCGCCGACAGATAACACCAAAGATCGGACAACTAACACACGACATCGATTCCGTTACGCGAATAGTAAGTCTATTTCCGCTATTGTTCCATCATCTCAAGCTAAAGTTTCCAGACCCAACAACTCATAGATATCATTTGCCCGTCAGAACGACTTCCTCCAGACATTTACTTCGCTGCTCTATCCTCGCTAGCAAAAGCCATCCTCCTTCAAGCCGAAACAGAGGTCACAGCCGAAAAACGAAGCGCTATACCCCTGGCCATGGTCGCCGCGAGACTGCTAGGCACGCTGGAAGGCTTTCCGGATATTTTCTTCGCGAAGCTCGTGCAACGGTCTGGAGGGTGGCCTGTGCCGTCAGTGATTCCTTCCACGGATTCAGACGGTACTGCGTGGAATGAACTGGAGCGCACCAAGGCCATGGGATACCGGACGAATGATGGCCAGAGAGAGACCTTGTCTGATCATATCATGCGCGTGTCTGGGATGATGCGTGTTTATTTCCTGATTCTAGCTGCGCCTGTGCCACAGCCATTAGATAAAATGTTCCAGTTACCACGTTTCTGGACATTTTTCGCGAGGATGATTGGGGATGAGAGATTACTTGAGACGGCAGTAGCCGCACAGGTACTTCATGGTGCGTTTTTTCCAATTGGGTGCTTCCCAGCTCTCACTCCTAGACTCCGTAGCTGCACTTGATGTTGGAGGCATGGAAGCGAAGTTCATTTGGGGTAATCAGTGGGTGAAGATGCTGGAATTGCTTTACGAGGGCGCAACGACAGGTATCGGCGGAGTTGCAGGGAAGCTGGTCGGTGGTCAAACCCCTGAAGGAAAGGCTGCACGTGTGCGTGTACAACTTCAGATAGAACGCATCATGGGTGCTACGAGCTCGCGATGAGGCTTTCAGGGATCTTTCCACCTAATTACCCATCTATTCGTTCACCACGTATAATATTTTGGAAGCCCATACATTCATGTACAGTAGCATCAGCCTATACATAGCATTCTACAGCGCTAGTGCAGAGCCCTGTGATAAGTGCGATGATCGGGGTGCACAGTTGGTGCTTTATCGAGAAACTAGTCGAGACTAGACTTGTGACCAGTTTCATTGGTATGGACAAGTCACCGGTCCAGCATACCCTGGATTCGCCAAGCACTGCAAAGCATCGCAAGCGTTCCGGGTAATCAGTGTGCGGATACGCATTTTTGCCTCCAGATTCTCCGAACCTTCAGTCAATATCGGATCAATGCGCCCGGGACCCGCGCCTTCAAAGAAAGAGATCATTTGATTCAGCCTCAGGACTTCTTCACAACGCAGGGCCGTGGAAGATGTGTCTTATGAATCATGCCACAAACGTGTGGATCTGGGGTGTCAGATCTCTACCCGGAATCCGACTTCTGAAAAATGGCCTCACAGGATGATCAACTGTGGTTCCTTGACTCTTTGCTTTGGTGCAGACTGACGAATTAGACATGGTCTAGATAGCGAGTACGGCCGGGAGCGTTGACAGGCTTGCCTGCCAGCCTGGTTGATGCCACGTTTGGCGATGGCAACCAACGTTCGTGAATTTGTTCTCGCTCGCTCACCCCTTCATCGGAGCGCAAACGAGTTGTTTTTTGGGGTGACGTTGCGGAGATAGAGATTGTTCGCGGTCTTGAAGGGGGAATGGGTGACGTAGAATGCAAGTGAGATGACAGTAGCGTTGACGGTTGCGTTGTGGTCTCGGACCTAATCGGTGGTGCCGTCGTGCGTGCGGGGGTCGTTGGTCTCGACCCTCCTGACACAGATGCGGAGGCACTTCGAGAATGAGTAGCTGCGAAGCGCGAGAGCATGGATGGCATAGCTGGTACGTTGTACGTGGATGCCGCTGATGAAGAAACTGATTGGCGCCGCTCGCTTAATCCAGTTGGAGCGGCGGTACTGGATCGGGCAGGTGACGCTGCAGCCTGAGCGGAAGTAGACTTTAGAGTATAACGGCTAAGTTCTGCTCGAAGAACCTGACATTCTTGCACTTTTTGGGTATGAAAGGTTTGCTACGAGAAATAAGATAAGCGGCGCGCACGACGTTCCTCAAGCCATAACGTACTTGTCTACGAGAGTTGTCAGCTTGTAAACTCAAGTGTATGGACCGTATGTTACGCACTGTCTTAGGTCGGCTTCTAGCTTGCTGATATTCAATTCCATGTTGTCTAGCTTCTCTCTTAGGGTAGCCTCGACTCCCTTCGCTATTTTCGTAGCTTCCGAATGAGCGATGTGATTCATCAAAATTGCCCTGAGCAGTGCAGCACACAAGGATAAAGAAGAAAGCTACATTCAAAGTTAGAGGAACGACAAACATTCAACAGTAAGAAGATGACCTGGTCGTGAGATTTTTCGTCATGAGTCAACCAGTCTTGTAGCTCGTTGTGTAGAGTCGAAACCTCTTCCACCGAGCATTTTCTAGCGGCCACCCTGGCCACTTTGTCCTCCAGCCTACGGGTCTCTGTGCGTGTACGCGGGACATCCGGCTCGATGAGGGGAAATCGGCCTTCCCTTCGTGATGGGGAGAGGCCGCCTCGCCGCCGAGAAGTGACCCGTCCACTGTCTGGAAAGCCGATGCGGATCAATCGCACATCGTCGCTAGTGAAATGATCGGAACAGAAAGGACAGGCAGCTTGAAGATGAGGCAATGTCTTTTCTACAATTTTATGGCAGCAGCCCCAGCAGAGGACGTGACCTCAAAGACAGAGGTGTCATGACACGAAATTCAGAGTTTTGAGAACCGAGTCACTCACCACACGGAACAGAATGAGGAACACGGTGTGGACTGTACTCTTCTGCGCACACATCACAGACAGAACCAGGTCCAAGTGTGAGCATGAGGTCAGGTCAATGAGACTCTTGACAGGTTTATTTGTGGTGGATAAAATAGCAGGAAGAGAAATTTATCGAAATGCATATGACGGCAGTTACAAAATGCATAGCAACTCGACCAAGCCCCGTCGGACTGCCCATCAAATTTACCTAATAGCTTGTAATGCTTACCTAGTCGTGCCGCGATATGTGCGGACTGTCGAGTCTAGCTGCAAGGGCAGACTTGATCAAAGCTCCCTCAGGCTGTGACAGACGGCCTGACTCAATCAGAACATCATGCCGTAAGGCCATTACCGGTGCCGACTTTCCGTTTTGTGCCCCCGGCCTGTCACGGTCGTCGAGACTGTCAGGCATGGATAAGATAGCGAGACTGATTTTTTACGAGAACGAAGTGATATATGTGAACAAATGGCTGGCGAGGGCAGAGATGTCGGATTGAGATAGGGGGACTACAACGGGAGAACGATAGATCATCTTGACCAACCAAACTCCGCCGCTATTATTAGGTGGACTCAGGACAGAACACGCGTGAAAGGTGCGGAGATCCATGGCAGTAGGACTGATATTGAATACACATACATAGTGATTGAGACAGGCCTTTCAATCTACGTCGTTCGTGTCGACGCGGAGTTTCAGTCCGTTGCTAAATCCTGCCTGAGAGAAAATAGCTCAAACCGCCTACTCGGACGTCGAATCAGTAACGCGATTGAATACTTACTAGGAGGGTGATATGGAAGAAGCGAAATGAGATCCGCGCCGTAGCAGCATGTACTGAGCCAACAAGGACCTTGTAGTATAAGCTACATGAGTTGGGAACCACTCGCCACACACACTCAGGCTGGCAAGATCCACGCCGTAACTACTACATCCACAAGGTACGCTGCTCTCGTCAACTTGAGATGCTACTGATCATCTGGGTCTCTGTATAGGCCAACGCAACATCATGTTACTAGGAGTGTCTCAGGAAGCGCACCCCACCGCAAGAGGATCCGCGCGGATGATGCAAGGGCGACCTGCGCCAACACGGACGATGCGAAGTCACACTGACTCATTGTTGGCGGTCGCGTTTTTCAAAGACGGTCGACGAGTCGTCAGTGCTTCGCACGACAAAACACTGCGAATTTGTGATATGCAGAGAGGATCATTGGTAGGAGGGCCATTCGAGGGTCACAAGGATTATGTACGATCGGTCGCCGTATCTCCAGACGACAGTCGAATTGCGAGCAGTGGAGATGATAAAGCCATTATTATCTGGGATGTTGAAAGCAAACGGATGATATTCGATCCATTGGAGAAGCATACAGGCTGGGTGCTGTCAGTATGTTTCTCACCTGATGGAAAGAGACTCGCCAGCGGATCGCACGATAAAACGGTTGTCATATGGGATGCAGAGACTGGCGGTGTCCTTGCAACACTCGACAGGCATAATAATTCGGTCTGGAGTGTTGCATTCAGCCCAGATGGGCTCAAACTAGCCTCCGGATCAGCGGATCATTCCATCCGGATTTGGCGCTCCGATAATGCCGAGCTTCTTCTCGAAATCAACGCTCACCAACATTGGGTTCGAAACGTCGTGTGGTCCCCTGATGGCCAGCAACTTGTCTCTGCGTCGTTCGACAAAACAGTTAAGTTTTGGAGCTCAGATACCGGAGCTCAGATCGGTCAACCTTGCACTAGTCACACTTACCACTCACTCGCCATCTCTTCTGATGGCTCCTTCATTGCTACTGCCTCGGACGACAAGATTTTGCGGCTATGGTGCACAAAGACACACAAGTTGATGGGACAGGTACTCGAGCACGCTGCTTTGGTTCGCTGTGTCGCAATTTCTCCCAATGGAGAGCTGCTCGTGAGTGGAGATGGTGAAGGGAAGGTGCTGCTCTGTTCTCTTAAGAACATACTCGAGCAACACAATGCAGAGGAAGGAATATTAGAAGATGAAGAAGAACAGCAACAACGACTCCCATTCAGTGAGACTCAGGTATGCTCATACCCATCATTGTTTCGCTCGCCTATTCATTCATTACCATTCGGTCACCTGGTGACAAATAGCTGCGCAGTTACGAGAGCAACGAAGAGTTTCTTGGCAACCACGGTAGTCCAATCAGTCATCCCTCGGAAATTGACGAAGCCTCTGGCATTGATGACGAACACTCATTATTTGACGTGAGCTGCTTGCCTTCTATGTGTTCACTTATGACGGAATATGAACTTGCTTCATGCAGATACTCACTATACCGGCGACGCTCCGCAATGGATCCATCACTGACATCCTGCATACCGCTGAAAAGCTGCTGACCCAAGAGATCGACGCAGATGACGACTACGAATCCTATGCCAATCGCTCGGTTGTAAGGGCACGATATGCCGACTGGAGAATGCGCTTCAAGATGCAGCCAAGGTTAGACACTCTGCCTATCATGAAGTCACTGACGACAGATTGACTCGGCTTTATCTCATAGTCAATTGCGATACAACCATCCTTATTGGGCTATATTTCCAAGGGCATCGCCCTCTGCGGCAACGGGCAGCTCTGGGACGCGATGGAAGCTTTCGATCTCGCTTTCATATTTTACAGTCATAATCCGATTGTCGTAGATATATTACTATTGATCAAGGTATTCTCGTCACTGTTTCCATAATCTTTTTGTCATACTAAGACTTTGATGTCATTTTGTACAGGCTGTTTCACTTTTCAATGCCAGTCGTCATGATGAAGCAATCCGGCGAGTTCAAGACCTGGCCACTGCTTATCAACGCCCACATAGATTTCCGTGCAGTGTTATCAATGTGGGTTTAATGTTAAACCTTGTAGATTTTCTCACTTTGAAAATCTCCTCAGTCATATCTACGTGCGCAGCTTGCGATAATTGATTTCGAGAATGGGAAGTACAGCGAAGCTGCTGATAAACTCACAGCCAGTATTACTGGGTTGTTCTTACACACGACACTTTTGGAACCTAGATTGAAGATATTCACGGTGGTGTGTTGCTACGAAGCCGTCGAGGACACTTTTAATTGATCATTGTGCGCTATGCAGCTCTTCGGTTGGGATTTGGATTCGTTATGGGAAACCATCAACCAAAGACGGTGCGATGCGTTCCTCCTCGCTGGTCGGGTGACGGAAGCTGTCGAATCTTTTCAACATATGATGAGCATGATCCACGAAGCTGGGAAGGGCAGCTGCATCGAATGGTCTACCAGTAAGTGTTTAGTGTAAACCGAATTAAACATCGATACTCATAGTGTCGACTAGCCTTCAAACAAGACTGTACTGTGCACTGTGTCACGAAGGCACATGAGGCTGTTGCTGCGAGCAATTATGAGATGGCAGTGACATTGTATTCGGCTGCGATTGTGCTGGATCCCTCGAGCGAGTCCCTGTTTGCGCACCGCAGTAAGGTAAATTCAGAACGAAAGCTCTATGCAGAGGCCCTTCACGATGCGGAAAAGGTGCGGATGATATCCATCATTTTTAGTAATTGTGCTGATACCGCCGATGTGCAGGTCATTGAACTCAACCCTTCGTCATACCTTGGTTACGAAGTGAAACATGTAGCACTCCACAAGGCCCAACGTTATGATGAAGCAATCGAGGCCTTGAACATTATGTTTTCCAAGTTGGACCACGGTCCCGATGCTCAGAGACAAAGTAAGCCCCATGTTAATGACGTGTCAACGGGAAGATTATTAACCCATTTTCCAGAGCTGTATCAGCAATATATCAGTCCATCTGAAGCAGAGGACACGATTCGGCAAGCCGTTCATGCCCAACTGGAAAATGCTCCGCTTCGTCTACTCAACACCTCCACTGGGCGTTTGTGCAACCGAGAGGCGCAGATACACACTTTCTTGGAAAGCACAGAGTACAAACAGCTTTTATATCTATCGATGATCCATGCGCCCCTCCAAACAGAACTCATCACAGAAGCGGTCGCCAAGTACTTCGGTCGGGTCATGTTATCGCACAGGTGGGAACAGAAGGAGCCACTACTGCACGACATCCAGGACAAGGCCGTGTACGATTTGAATCCTGTCGGAACTATGATCAAGTTGCAGACATTCTGCAAAACTGCTTGTAATGCTGGGTATCGCTGGGCGTGGAGCGATACCTGCTGCATCGACCAGAGTAACAATGTTGAGCTCCAACGATCGGTGAACTCTATGTTTGTTTGGTATCGCCAATCAGCTCTTACGATCGTCTACTTGTCGGACGTCCCGCCCTCCGCGAAGTCTGGCGCACTGGCAAAGAGTGCTTGGAACACGCGAGGATGGACTATTCAGGAATTCTTGGCTCCTACAGTTGTTCTCTTCTACCGAGCAGACTGGTCCCCATATCTCGATGACCGCTCTCCCAACCACAAGGTGTCTGCCATTATCATGCGTGAGCTGCAGAATTCAACAGGCATAGATGCATCGTCCCTCGTCACCTTCCGTCCGGGCATGAAAGGTGCGCGGGAGAGAAACTCCAATGGGCATCGAACCGCGTCACTACGTTGCAGGAAGACATCGCATACTCATTGTTTGGCATCTTCGGCATCCACCTGCCCGTCATCTACGGCGAGACGAAACAAAATGCGCTCGGGCGTCTCTTACAGGAGATTGTCGCCCGATCGGGCGATATCACTGCTCTGGACTGGATTGGCAAATCATCCCAGTTCAACAGCTGTCTCCCAGCTGACATTACCTCGTATAAAGCTCCACCATGCATATTATCGCCTTTACCCGAAGATGAGATGCAGATGTCTGTCTCCAGGCTGCAAAATGCTATCGCTGTGGAGTCGGCTTTATCACTTTATACCCTCCTCGATAACCTCAGCGCTCCTCGTTTCGCGAACTCCAGACTGCAGCTACCTTGCATCGCATTTCCTGTTACAGAAGTCAGACGGAGGGGCGGTCAAGATCAGGAGACATGCTTCACTTATTTTGTCAAGGCAGACGGGCTTCAAGACCTTGTGATCACCACGGAGGATAGATTGATCCAATTCTCGCGGGCAAGGCCCACT